ACCTATCAGCTATGTGACCTTGGGCAAGTTAACCACTCTGTATCTCAGCTTCCTAATCTGTAAGGCTGAGATAGATCATAAGTTGTTTCAAAGAGTGTATTAGTTACTACATATAAAACACTTTGAAAAATTCTTGGCACATAATAACTGCTCTATTAGTATTAGCTATTATTGTGACCTTGAGTCTTTTTTTTTTTCTTTCCTTTTTGTCTTTTTTCGTGTCCGGCAACGGATTGCAACCCTCAGTGTTGCGCCCGTACCGGACTGGGACCGGCAATGGGATCGCAACCCTTGGTGTCGCGTCCGTACCTCGCTCAGCCAGTGAGCAGGAACTGGTCTGTATGTGGGATCCGAACCCTCGGCGGGAGTGCCGCCGCGCTCCCAAGCGGCGCACTGTAGCAGTGCGCCACCGGGCCAGCCCCGTGACCTTGAGTCTTTATCTAACTTTTGTATCAAAGCTATGCTCACTACCCAGCTAGAATATAAATTCCTGTATCCTCTGGAGTTGATATGGTGCCTCACCTGGTATAGCAACAATAATGCCAGCTGATAACCCTTCAGTAAGGGTTCTCAGGGCACCTAAGCATCCACCTTTACATTATCGATATCGATGACATTGATATGGATATATAGGTATACAGGCAACTAGTTCTGAATGCCTGTCATGTGCAGGGTACAACTCAGCAATTTCCAGTGGGGACAGTCACAGTACAGACCCAGGGTGAGCTGTGGTCAGTGTATGACAGCTGATGCTCCTAGGGTACCATTGGGAAGGAGGGTCTGGCCTCCACAGCTTTCTCTCCAGGGAGGTCACTGCCCTATGTCATTCATCTTGGTGTCTGGCACTCTTTTTTGAGTGATCTGCATTTTCTTTTTTTTTCCCTTTTTTTGTCTTTTTTCGTGACCGGCAACGGATCGCAACCCTCAGTGTCGCGCCCGGACCGGACCGGGACCGGCAACGGGATCACAACCCTCGGTGTTGCGCCCGCACCTCGCTCAGCCAGTGAGCGGCCGGTCTGTATGTGGGATCCGAACCCTCGGCGGGAGCGCCACCGCACTCCCAAGCGGTGCACTGTAGCAGTGCGCCACCGGGCCGGCCTGCATTTTCTTTTTTATAAACTATTTATTGACATAAACACACAGCACCCTGTATTTGTAGGGATGCCTGAGGTCATGTACATCCCCTGGGGTCCTGCTCCGTCCTTGCCACTGGGTACTGGGTGGGAGGAGTAAGGATGGTGTAGGCAAAGCCTCCAGTGTGCTTACGTAGCAGGGATCGGCCGAAGTTCATCATTGCTCTACTGGGGGCACTGACTGCACTAAGCCCGAGGAGTGCAGGAACTTATGTTCTCGCCAGGGAGTGAGTGGAGAGGCTAAGTGACCCAGGGAAGTGTAGACTGGGAGACAGGCAGCTAAACCACGCAGATGCAAGTGCCCCAGGCTGTTCTTGATGGCCGAAGCCACTTCCTGCAGAAGAAAGAGCTTGAGTTTGGTTAGAATAGTAGAACAGTGTGGGGTAATTTCTAGGGATGAGGGTGCACATTCCAGAATGACCAAGGGTGATTGAGGTGGATTAATTTGAGCAGTATAGATGGACTGGCAAGAACACTGTTCACCTAGAGGTGATCAGCAGGAGATCAGGTTTGGAAATTTGGTAAATTAGGACAAGTTTGGCCTTCCTGCAACTCAATCCAGCCTCCTCCTGGAGTGTCGGCACAAAGTAGACAACACTGGACACAGAAGAAGCAGCAGTTCCATCACCTGGTCCTAAAACACTTCTAATTCCAAACAAAATGCATCGCCGCCCCCACCTTGCAGTGTCCAGTAAGTCAAGCTGAGGATCTGGAATCCGAGCTGGAAGGCATCCATGTCCCTCTCAGGGCTGAGGCTTTCTTACCATAGGTAACTACTCCAAAATGCAAAGCTATGCATTGGTCTCAGCTCCTGAGTGACCAGTCCACATCTGAAAGGTGAGTGACAGCAGCCACCTACACAGTGTGTCTAGCTGGCAGGCAGGGGGGGCAGGACAGCTGAGAGGAAGGGCCGGGGGGTGGGTCCATCTGGTAATTTCCCCAATGTACCAATTCTCCAAATGCTCTGGTATTTGGGCCCCACAGGGGCAATGACACTGAAGGAAGCAACAGAAACTGAACTGCGATGTTTGCACTGATGGATGCCAGTTGAAAACCCTTGTATATGGGTGCCTCAGTTTCCTGGTCTGCAGGGGGTCGTGCAGGACACATCTGTGACCAGTCCAGATTCTGACCCCCACCCTCACTGCAGAAACCACAGTGAGGCCCCACACAAGCACAGACACTGTCACACCCATGGCTGACCTGGGCACCTGTCCCTCTGTACCCCCTGGGGGTGGGCCATTGACAACAGGAGTTCATGGATGGACAAACCCTTTCCCTTCACCCCCAAGTGGACAGTGCTCCTCTTAAGGTCCCTGTGGATGGTGGGGAGGGTGTCACACAGCAGCCCCTTCCATTCCACTCCCGCAGCCATCCCCTACACTCTGCCATCACTCCCCAAGTGTGCCCCCACGGGCCACCTTGTGCCCAAGCCAGGCTAGCCCCTGCCTCGTAGCATTTGCAATTCATCACACCCCGAAAGCTCACTGGAAATGCTGGCTTTCTATAGGAAATGAGTTTAGTCCCAGGCCTAGATAGGATGCTAGACAGCTTCAACGTCACAGAAGAATGTCAGGAGGAAAGTCCTTTGTCAAGAACTAAGCAGGAGGATGCAGACACGGAGGCAGTGGTTGCCTCTTCTTTTATGTCCATTGGCCATTATGGTTGGTCATGTGCAGTGACATGACAAAAGAAAGACCATACATAGGTAGTTCAGAGACCCTGGGAGACTTTTGAGACAGCACAGGACTCAGCAAAAACAACTCAGAGCATAGTGTTCCATGTGCACATTTATTTCTCTCAAAGATTGCTCATGTTCTCGCCACACCCTCTCCAAGGGAACCCACCCAGAGCCCCACACAAGGCTTGGTGTAGGACTGTCATCTGTTTTTAAAGTGCTACGGAGGAATACAATCATCGTCGTGTAAATGTATCAATTCAGCATCAAGCCAAACCTGTCCACAGGCCTGGAAAACCTTTCACTTTCCTCTCTTTTAAATGCCAGTTTGACATGACATTGGGGGTAAATCCAAACTATAAGCCACAATTACAAATGATACATAGCTGTGTAGTCGTGGGCTCGATGAACTGAGCAGTTTAATGTGTTTCGAATTCTCTTTGTACATAAAACAGGAATGCTAAAGATAATGAACTAAACGTAACCTGAGTTTGAGTTGTAAGATTTAACAGCGTCCTTGTCCCAGTGCCAGTTGCTTTGGTAATCACAACTTGACTGGTTTTGGGCTGCAGAGAGACTGTGCATCAGCGCTATGCCAGTACCGAGACCGTTTTCCATCAGACAGAGATATAGGTTCTGACTTCCAGCGCCCACTGCCTTGTATTCTGAGGTTTCAAGATCAAGAGCCACAAATTTATTACCCAGAAAACACCCGCTTTTGGCGGGAGCAGTGTAAATTAATCTTTCCCTTCCTGCTCAAGAAGAAAATGCACAACTCTCTCTTACAGATGTGGCCAGTAAAACCCTGGCAACAATCTAGAAGGGTGCCTAATCTGTAACGGGTTGGCAGTGACTGGCCAAGTAGCAATCACAAGGAATCAAGGGCTGGTTGTGAACTTAAACTTGAAACTTGATTAAAATAAAGTGCTCTGCCTAAAGCCTCTTCCTCACAGTAGGTTTTCAGCTGGAACAAGGGAACCACTACTTCTGTTATTGCTACATTAATGTGCACCACCCCCCCCTTAAAGTTCCATTTCACTCCTCCACAAAGAAAACAAGACACATCCTTAAAGCAGACGGGAGGGTTGTGAGCTCATTCAAACCAACATGAAAGCACCTGGTTCCAGAGATACAGACACACATTAATATCAGTGTTCATGAGGAATGCTTTAAGAATACCACCCTGCAAACATTTAATCAAGACAAAATCCAAAAACAAAAGCCCTCAAGTGACTAAAGCTTGTAGAAGAGGTAAGATGATTTACACATTAGTATTTTCAGCATTTGGTGTATAATTTTAATCAATCCTTAAATGTAATGACATTAACATAAATACCCTACACCATGAAAAAACAAACCTGGATACACAGCTTGGAAAAGAAACATTCACAGTATCAATACAGCCCCTTTCCTCCCAGTGCTACCCTAATTTTTTTTTTTTTTTTTTTTTTTTTCATTTCCTCGTAGTGAAACTCCCTGCTATGTTAGTGTTGTCTGGAACTTCAGAAAAGGTAATTAGATGTCATGACTGCGTCTATAGAAAGTGGAGCCCTAGATGTAGGTATTAAACAGTGAACAGAATGCATATGGGTTAATCTGGGAATGGGATGATTTAAAACATTTTTTTTTTTTTTTTGAGATTGAGAAAGCTTAATCCAGAACTCTGGATTCACACAGATAAATGGAGTTTACCTGAATTTCAAAATAAAAATTAAAAAAAATTATTAAAAACTTGTGATCAGTGTCTGAAATCCTGCTGCATAATATTTTCTTAGAACGAATTCTTATGTCACAGGTTCATTCTCCCACATGACAAAGAGCAGTACTACTTCAAATAAAACAAAACAGTAAAGTGACCATCCGTTCCAAAAGACTTGTAGTGATTACTAACTTTCGGGACTTGGTATTAATACACGAGAGTACTTCCAAAAATTCATGGAAAGATTCATATTATCTTTTACTTCTATTTTTCCACAATCTTTTGGAAGTACCCTCAGGTATTTGGAATTCCAGGTGCTATTTTACAATGATTAAAATCGGAATGTAATCTTTGAAAACAAAGCATGGTGGAAAAGTCATTTTAAAAGTCACTTGATAATTCCTGGAACACCTAAGAATTTTTTAATGTGCCTTTAAAAGTGAAATTCCTAGGGCCGGCCCGTGGCTCACTTGGGAGAGCGTGGGGCTGACAACACCAAGTCAAGGGTTAAGATCCTCTTACCGGTCATCTTTATTTAAAAAAAAAAAAAAAGAAAAAGTGAAATTCCTAATATAGTTTTTGAATTTCTCCGTCAAAAGGAAAAAAAATCTATAATTTTGGTTTCTATAAAGCTTTTTATTCATCAATGGCTCTATTCTCTGAAATATTTAATGTTTCAGGATTAACAAAAGAGCCGGCAGGAAGGAACTCACCCATTTCATATCCGTGACAGAAGTCAGGTTTTCATACCATCATTTAAAGTCCTATTGGGATGAAAATGAATCTTATTAAACTGTCAAAACATTTCACTCCAGTGACACTCACTCTTTAATAAGCATGTCTACTGGAAGTGGTACGTTCTAAAGGGGTGGACCAGTGTGAGAATGTGAATGAACAGAAGCAGACAGTCATTCTGATGAGGAAAGTGGTTTGAAAGATGCATACAGATATCAATAAGTCCTGTGCCGAGTTTATCACCTTTTCCACTAGAAAGCAGAACAAGGGCACCCCGAAACGTGTCCAGGAGCACTGTTCCCAGCAGAATTCTGCAGAGCTCATCAAAGGAATTTCATGCAAGTTTGGCCCATTTGTCATCAAACTTCCATTCCTAAGACTGACAACTGAGACACAAAATAACCTCCTCTATTGCCCTCAGAGTACTTTGTTTTGGCTATTGGCAATATTTGGCAAAAACCCTGTTTGTGTGCAGTGACCATGTTCTAGTAGCTGTCACTATTGCTTCTAACTTCATTTGACAGGCTTGCCAGACAGGAAAAAAATATCTGCATCGTCAACTGCACCACCAGTATTAGTAGAGCTTCTGACATGACAGAGAAAAATGTGAAAATCTCATAAGAATTCATATATCTCCCACTGGCAAGTAGGATCAAAGTAAACTTAGAAAAGTGTTCAGTGTAATGTACATAGGACATATTTAGTATTGCATAAGATGTCACGTTCTATGGCTAATATCAAAGGCAGCGTTGTCTTATATTTGTCAGGGCATTTCCATTCCTGTCATAGTTTCTCTATCAAAAAATCCTGCCTATGTCCCACCTCCCTGTACTCAGGGCCAGGCGCACTTTTTAATTTGAAGCAGCAGATTAGGAGAGGTGACCCATCCCTTCCTTTCACAGAGACAGTACAGAAGGGCCCCTCCTCTTTGGAACATGGTCCAGGCATGGACCCCAAACAATACTTGTTAGAGTATAAAATGGGTAAAACTGACTCCCCAAGCCTGCTCCTCCACAGTCCATTAGAGTATATTACTTCATGCACAATGTAAACCTCCTTCTAATATTTAACCTCAACCCTTAGACTGAGCACAGCCTAAGCTGTGGGGTTACCAGGTCTCCTTTGGCATCTGGTGGCAAATTGGGCTTTGTCAGTCCTCTTGGGGAAGCCTCCTAGCTGGAGACTCAAGATTTTTTTTTCCCTCTTAAAGACTAGACTGTTGGGGAAAAAAACAAGCTAGAAAAGCGGGGCCATCTGACAGCTGGCCGGCACTCTGGCTGTGTCCTGGTGGTCACGAGGGCCCATGTCTTCTGGCCTCGGCCCTACGTGCAGTGCTCCACAGGAGCGCCGTTCACGGTGTTCTTGCTTCTGTGCCTGGACAGCAGCTTCCTGTTCAGGATCCTGCTGAGGGTCGTCCCCTTCCTCCGGGCCCCCTCTGGCTGCTGCAGGAACACGAGGTCATTGTGTGACTGGCTCATGCCTGGTTCTTTCTGTTGATGCCGCCGGCGGAAGAACAGCTTTGCGCCTTTCCTTAAAATTCCTCCTGGAAGAGTAAAGCACAGGGGACTGGTCAGGCGGACTGTGGGTGAAATGCCTGAGTGACGAGTCCGACATAAGAAAGAGACAAGGTTAGCTCGAATGCCTCTGACGACAGCTGGCTTACTACCTTCAGCGTGCTATCGCTATCCCCCACGTGAGAAACACAACTGGAATCTGGCTCATTCAAAACTGGAATTTTCAAGATGAGACACACCAAAGATTATGACGGTAGAAGCAATGAGCCTGGACCATCATCTGGTGCCCAGCCCAGGGGAGGTTAATATCACTGACTGTCCAGTCAAACCACGTGCAGGTGGCTGCGGCCCACGGCCCCCGCCCGCTCCCCTTCATCAAGAAGGGTGCAAATGCATAGAGGTATTAAGTACCCAGGAGGTTAATATCACTGACTGTCCAGTCAAACCACGTGCAGGTGGCTGCGGCCCACGGCCCCTGCCCGCTCCCCTTCATCAAGAAGGGTGCAAATGCATAGAGGTATTAAGTACCCAGAAAGGGCCTCACGCTGGCAAAACCAAATTAAGTACCCTGGGAACAATGGTATTCACTTTCTGAGGAAATTTCCGTAATATTTGTTCTTTGGGGAGTAAGTTTTTTTATAATATCAGATTGTATTGTCTACATATTAGCCTAAGCCATATGAAACTAGCTACTTGATCGTTTTTGACCTATAAAACCTCAATTTTGTATGATTCAACCTATTTGTCCGTGATGCCAGGTAGTGAAATATGGAATAGAAAACAAAATTACCAGCAGCAGCAACAGCAGTGATTTCTTTTTTTTTTTTTGGCTTCTGTCTTTTTTCCGTGTCCGGCAATGGATCGCAACCCTCAGTGTTGCCCCCGTACCGGACCGGGGACCGGCAACAGGATCGCAACCCTCGGCGTAGCTCCCGTGCCTCGCCCAGCCAGTGAGCGGGAACCGGTCTGTATGTGGGATCCGAACCCTCGGTTGGGAGCGCCGCCGCGCTTCCCAAGCGGCGCACTATCCAGTGCGCCACCGTCAGCAGTGACTTCTTAAAGATCAAGTTCAAGCTAATGCAGCGAGGCCAAAGCCCACTCATCTGCTCTTTCACAAATTCGTTTAACACCCTATTAACTGCAACCCAGCAAGGTCAGGAGTATTTCAAGCTAGCATGTGAAATTCATTGCTATTTGCATGTAGGTGTTAATGACGTTGAAAGAAGATAGGTTTGATCATGATGCTGAGGAGCTTTATACTTAATTTAGAAATTTATTCTTTTCGTAATAGGCATAGCCAATAAGCACTTCAATAGCCATGAAGATACACAAATAACCACTCATGTTTATCCAAAGGAGAGGATAAAGATTATCAGTTTGCTCTTCTAATGGAAGGCATGCCAATAACCATGGCTTGAGGCGTTGAGAAGCCTGACCTAGACCTGCCTATGAATCTTTGTGCAATCAGCACTTAATGGAGAAAGTGGGGTGCCTGGATGTCTTTCAGAGGCCACTAATGGGGCCTGACTTTAGGAATCAACATCCTTATCCTATCTGTTCTGCCCAGGTTAAGTAGCAGACATGGAGAAGCTGGAGATTCCCAAGGAATGGGCTGAATTTAATCTGGTCAAAGCTGCCAGGAAATAATTTTTAAAAACTTTTCTCTTTAGATGCAATCAATCACCTATTATGAAAAATCGTTAGGAGAGTTTTTACAATGACCTAAAGTTGGGGAGCCTATGTGTAGGGGTTTTAGGACTGGAAAGGGAATGAATAATGAGGGTACGTGTGAATGCGTAAAGTACCCAATATGCTACATTACAATGACCTAAAGTTGGGGAGCCTATGTGTAGGGGTTTTAGGACTGGAAAGGGAATGAAAAATGAGGGTACGTGTGAATGCGTAAAGTACCCAATATGCTACATTCGTAGGACATAAATGTCAGTTCCTGGAGCGATTTACATCCCTGCAAAATGCGGCAGATCATGAAAAATCACTGATTAGGATGTGTTACAACAACTGAGTAATGAACACCAGCTGGACATGACTTTGGAGTTGGCCAGTGGGGCTGAAGCAGTGGTGCCCATGTGGTTAATTACCCCAGGTATCAAATGGTACCTGCTGGGGAAATGCTCTGAGCACAGGGACGGGGGATCCTGGGCAGAGGACCCCCACCTCGGGCTATAAGGTGGCTCTGAGCAGACCAGGCTACCTCAGCTTGGGGGTAGGGTACCTAGGAGGTATTTCTGATCTATATGTACCTGCCTTGGGTTCTGCGGTAGGTTAACCTTGGATTCCCTGAAGGGTATATGACTGTGGGGCTCCCACATTTGGATCAGAGGAAAGAAGGTCTGGGAGGACCCGTTACATTGAATTACCCTAATCCCCCCTTTCTCCCCCGCTGAAGTAGAGGGCTGGACGAAGGGAGCACACTGACCCCTCCCCTGGTCAACTGCAGACCTAAGAATGTGGAACCCTGGCAGTATGAGCTCTCTCCTGGAAGGGTGCGTCTCCAAAGCCCAGTTGGCACGTAGCCCTGTACTAAAATTTGCTCTGGGGTCTGAGGTGTGAGCTGGGACAGTAGTATGGGCTGAACTCTGTTTCCCCAAAATTCATGTGTTGAAGTCCTAACTCCCAGCACCTCAGAATGTGGCCTTACTTAGAGAAAGGGTCTTTGCAGATGTAATCAAGTTAAAGCGAGGTCATTAGGGAGGGCCCTGATCCAACATGCCTGGTGTCTATGAAAGGGGGTGATTTGGAAACAGACAGGTACACAGAGGGACAAAGATGTGAAGAGACACAGGGAGAAGGCCCCGTGGAGACGAAGGCAGAGATCGGAGCGATGTATCTACAAGCCAAGGAACCCAAGACTCAGCAACCACCCGATGCTGCGAGAGGCCTGGAACAGATCTTCCCTCCCAGCCTGGGAGGGAACTAGCCCTACCCACACCTATGTCTCAGACTTCTGGCCTCCAGGACTGTGAGACAGTAAATTCCTGTTGTTAAACACCCCGTAGCTGGTACTTTGTTACAGCCCTAGGAAACTATACAGCCAGGACAGTGAGGGGAGTATCTGACTTAAGATGAGGGTTTGGAAACACCCCTCCATGTCTTCCTGTTCAGTCCCTAGAATGTCAGCAGCCACAGGGAAGGATCCGGAGCACAGAGGACAGAAGAGCTACATCTTCAGCCCTGGGACATGCCGAGCCACCCTGCATCCGCTTAAAGCTGCAGATGCTGACGTGGTAGGGCCTGGGCATGAGCATTTTTCAAAAGATCCGAGTGTGTAGCTGGAGTAGCTGGGGTGGACAACCACCAGCTCAGGTCAAGGGCCACAGCTGTCAACACGGGGCAGGCTGGGGGGCGGGGGTGGGGAGCGGCAGGCAACACATTTGCTCTCCTTTGTGCAGTTCCTCACACTTCTCGTGGCACTGTCTCCGGGACGTGCAGACCACAGGTGCCTTGCTATGCAGAAGTGAGAGGGAAGCCAAGACATGGAGACAGGCAAGGGGTGGCTGTGTCCAAAGGGAATCTGCACATTTTTGGAACAATTGCTATAACTTAAGTGAAACTGCACTTTACATGCCTAAAATTCAAATTCTTGCCATATTAAGATGAAATTTCATGGATTTTCAACCTGCGTGTAATATAGGTAGACTAAAAAGATTTGTATGATGTATTTGTTTTAAACTCTACTGCTGGCTGTGGTTCGTCCCACAATCTAAGGGCTGGCTTGTTTCAGTAGCATTTTTTACTATTTTTTACTCCCACAAGTCCTGTGCCTGCTTCCCTGTGCCACACACCACACGGAGGGACCTACAACAGGGCTATTTTCCCTTCTTTTACCCTTACTCATGCCCTCTGGAGCAGGTCTGCTGTTTTGTTAAATGTCACTGTGCATCCTTGATGCCAGAAACCAGATGATAACTTTTGTACCCTCATATGAATTTTCCTGAAGTTAGTGACCTTATCAAATGGGAAATTTGGGAACAGAGATAGACACACAGAGGGAAGATGACATGAAGAGACACAGGGAAAAGGCCATGTGAAGACAAATGCATAGATCAGGGCAATGTATCTACAAGCCAAGGAACCCCAAAGACTGTCAGCAACCACCCGACACTGGGGGAAGGATCTGTGGGACTTTGTGTGACTTACACACTTTCCCCTAACTTGGCATGACTTCTCACTGCTTCTATGGGGATGACAGCAGCTTCATATGGAGGAGAGTCATGTGAGGGGAGGGACTGGGCTGTGAATTCAGTTCTACAGGCTGGAACTTCAGTTATGTCCCCCAACAGCTCTGAGGAAAGAGGTCTGGTCCCTAGCCTACAAGTGAGGTAGCTGAGGTTTGGAGAGGTGTCGAGGTCACACACTTGCTACTGGTGGGCCCAGGGCATAAAGCTGGGCTTTCTGGCTCTGAAACACATGTTCTCATGCCACCCTCTTCTGTGCTGTGTCTAAGCTGGAATATGATGGGGCCTGCCCTTCTGAGAAGTGGTCATCAAGGTGTCTACAGAAAAGGGCATGTCCATGGACCCTGGGGAAGTGCCTCCAGAGAGTGTGGAAGGGGAGAAGCTCTCAGGGGGCTCATGAAGCAAAGTCCTCCATTCCAGCATGGAATCAGCAGGAATCCAAGAACAAACTACATCTCCAGAGAAGTACTCTAGCCATGCACTCTCATCTCGGGAGCTGCAGCTTAGCTGTCAATCATGAAAATACCAGCATAAACAGAGACTATTCAACTTTCATTTATAAATGACAATTTTAAAGCCTGTTTAAACTTGGTTACTATATACAATTACCCTTAGGGTAAATAATGTTGGAAGAACAAGGTCACAGATTTGTTCAGGAGACACTGACATAGCTGCTCCACCACTCAGACAGGCAAGCACACTCTCTTGTTTGCTGAGAAGTGATACCATGTGGAATTTACCTGTCTGCCTACCTCAACTAGAGATGACTCTGATGGCTAGTTTTTTGTGTCAACTTGGTCACAGTACCCCCTAAGCACACTCTCTTGTTTGCTGAGAAGTGATACCATGTGGAATTTACCTGTCTGCCTACCTCGACTAGAGATGACTCTGATGGCTAGTTTTTTGTGTCAACTTGGTCACAGTACCCCCTGATTCAATCACATACAAATCTAGATATTGCTGTGTGTAGGAATGCCAGTTAGAACTCACTCCATCCTCATGTCCTCCCGAGCTCTGGCTTCAATAGTTACAATCTTTCCCCTGCACAAGTTGCTTAGCAACTGAGGAAGTGAAAGGAATAGAATGCTATGCCTATGTAAGATAAGGAGAGGTGCCTGAGAATCTTGCACTTCTGAAACCTTTTTCTCTTTGTCATAGCTCCACTTTGTTCTCAAAGTCCCTTATCTTCAACTCCTCCCCCCAGGGGTTGCACAGAAAGCAGCTGAGCAGCCTTTGATTGATAGTCTACTCAATACCTTCCCTGAAAGGAACCACCCATAAATAATAATGATTATAATGATAATAAACTCCTTATAAAACATATGGAGTTGCCTGCTTCATTCATTGGTCTCAGGATACCTCTTTGGTTTGGTGGTCATTACACTATTAGATCACACTTGGACTGTGAAGGTATTTTGTAGAGGTGGTTGACATCAACAACCAGTTGACCTTAACTGAAGGAGATTATCTTGGATAATGTGGGTGGGCCTCGTCCAATCAGTTGAAGGCCTTAAGAGAAAAGCTGAATTTTTCTGGAGAAAAAAAAAAAATTCTGCCTCAAGAAATACTACTTTGCAGATTTCGTAATAACTTCGTATAGCATACATTATACGAAGTTATACGATGTGGGTGGGCCTCGTCCAATCAGTTGAAGGCCTTAAGAGAAAAGCTGAATTTTTCTGGAGAAAAAAAAAAAATTCTGCCTCAAGACTCTGGCATCAGCTTCTGTCTGAGTCCTGCTGGCCTGCCCTAGCATTTCAGCCTTGCCAGCCCCCACAATCACATGAGCCAATTCCTTAAAATATATGACCTAGTGTTTCTGTTTCTCTGGAGGACCCTGGCTGATAGAATAACTGGTAGTTTGGAATGTCGCATTTGACTTTGAGCCCACAGAATCTGTTACCCTTTGCTGAAAGGGAAGTTCACACCAATCAGGCAAGAGCACTGTGGCCCTTTTGATTTTATGAAGCCTGACGGCTGTAGTCCATGCTATCTTATCTATGCTAATAGGCAAGAAGCAAGACTTAGACCTCACCCACAACCTTAAAGAGTCCTTAAAATACAATTTGGAGAGAAGTGATGTGGAGTTGAGGCAAATATCCAGGATTTCAAATAGGGGACAGGGAGAGGGACAAAAATCCTTCCTTGGTTCTAGCAAGGTTAAAATAAACCACGAGAAGTCTCAAATATAAGATATATAAAGGAATTAAAAATAATTATTTTAAATTATAGCTTTAATGCTGAAAATATTTCTAATTTTTTTCCTGTTTGTCTCTATAGAGTCTAACAGACATAAAGAGCTAGTTGAAGATCCATTGTAAAATCTGGTAAATAGAAAAATAACAACCAAAAGCCACTTTAAAAACTGTAGTTTGCTGCCCCAAGGACAACTTCAGATTTCAGCTGGTGCCATGGATAATCTGTTTATAAAAGTGACTCCTTTTTAGAACTGGAGGAATAGAGGGAAGCAACCTCCCCCTGTAGGTGTCACAACAAGGTGGCTTCGTCACGCCAGGTAACGGAGCAAGCACCCGCAGCTGATGAAGGTGCTAACCTGAGCTGGAGTGCTTTTGAGGAGAAACATGGGAAAACTAGCAACCTGGGAAGGGAAAATGGGACAGGGGCAGGAAAAAAGCAGGTAGGTCAACTTCTTGCTCTGCTACAGGCTTTTCTCATAAAAAGGCTATGCATAATTAAAAAATGAAAGACAGAAATAACTTACTGTGCAGGCAATTAATTCTGGCTGGCATAGCGATCCTCTTACGTTAAAGGGAATGAGCATGAGATGAAGAGAAGTGAGAGGTAAAAAGAATTACGCAGGAGCACAGTCAGAATGAAAGTCAGTACGAGTTCTGAGCCGTGTACATCACATGCACACGTGAAGTCTGTGCAGCACATTTGGCAAGGTTTTATACTTTCCAATTTTTTTTCAAAACCTCCCTCAATACTTTTGCTTCCACACATAAAATTTACTATCTTAACCGTTCTAAGTGTACAGTTCAGTGGTGTTAAGTGCTTTTACATTCTAGGGCAACTACGTCAATACTTTTTTAAACTAAAAATAAACTTAAAACTTGAGAATAAATGTCCTGTATTGGCTGTAGCATCACAATATGTATATTTCCAAGCAGCAAAACTTCAGGAGAATTCTAAATATACAGGCACTGTCAGAAATCTAGTACAAATTCCTTGCTATGACAGAGGATACTAGTGGTTCTTAAACCAAAAATAAATAAATAAATAAGCTTTAGATTAAAAAAGAGAGGAACCACCACAGAGCCACTCCCTACATCACCAGTTTTGAAAACTTTTTGATGGAAAATGAAAACTATTTGGCACCCATAACACAGAATCGTCTGAGATTCTGACATGTCATAGAGATGCTGAGTATAAATCTCTTGGAAAACACTGGAATGAAAAGACAATTTTAAAAACGCTGCCAAATATGTCCTTTTAAAAAACCTTTAAAAAATTCTTTTAAAAAAACCACTGCAGTAGTGCCGCGAGAGAGGATTGCGCCGCATGGCGCAATGTCCTCACTGCGTTCTCAAATGCCAAGCCTCTGGGGGGGCTCAAAGCACATGCCGGAGGTAGACCCCAATCCCCAGCCCAGCCCCCCAGTGTCCTTGCTCAGTGGGGACACTCATCCACCTGGCCAATGGAGGGAGGGGAACAGGATGCAGATGCAGCAAGGATGGAAGACCAGGGAAAGAACTCTCCATAAGGCAAACCAGAGGGAGGGAGGGAGGAACAGACAGGATAAGGGAACCCTGGTCTTTAAATGGACAGGGTGAGTGAGGCTTGGCATTTCAGAATGAACAAGGATGGTGGACTGGGAGGTTTGGGTTCTGCAAGGACAAAAGGAAGTGGACCATTGGGTCAAAGAAGGGAGAGGAAGAGACATCCCACCTTTGCCCCTCGCCTGCACTCACCCATCTCCCTTGGGGTCCTCTGGCCCTGAGACAAAGAACCACCAGATGTATGTGTGGCAGGGGACCGGCAGCCTGGTCACTTTTGACATAACTTGGGCTTCTTCACAGTAGCAGGGGAGCCTGCCACAGAGGCCAGAGCACAGGCCACAGCTCCCCAAGCACTCTGTGGATGTGGGCTCATGCATGAAGCCCCCCAAGGCCAGGCGGTGGGCACAGAGGCCAAGGGGTCTGGAGATCTTACCTGGGAATTTCCTCCTCCTTTCTCTTTCCTTTTCTCACCTTCAATTCCTCCTCCCACCTCTCCCCGCTCCATGTTGGTAAGGGGGGTGGGTCAGGGGAGAGCGGCCACTGTGCGATGGTTGAGAGACACGAAGCAAGGACAGGGTGGGGGTAAAGGCGAGGACAGACTCAGCCCACACAGGTTCTCCACCTGAGCGCCACAGGAATTCAGGAACAGGTAACACTCTGTGGCAAGGCTGCTTGCTGTGGGGCCACCCTGCACACTGGAGGGTGTTTAGCAGCCCCCTCTGATTCTACCCACTGGATGCCAGCAGCATCCCGCACCTAAAACTGTCTCCAGACACTGCCAATATTCTCTGGGGGCACAAGTGCCAGTGTGAGAAGCCCTGTTCTGTGTGAGAAGAACAAAGGGGGAAAGAGGTGGCCACAGAACCACTCCCCACGGCTCCAGAGCCAGGAGCCACTGTGACTTCCTAACATGCACGTCCTCGGGGAGTCCTGAGAATTCTGCGGGAAGGCAGGGCTGCCTGGGGCCCCAGACAGGAGGCAGAGCTGGGAGTTAAGGCTGAGTCCACCCACGGCTCAGGGCTGGGCTCAGATGCTGCCTCTCCCGCCTCCTGCACTGGATCTCATCATGGCTGGGAGAGGAAGCTCCGCCGGAAGGTGGGCACACAAGGTGGGCATGGTCCCTGTCCTATGGAGGATGAAGCAGAGGCTCGGCGAGAGCTGAAGTCTCACCTCTAGAATCAACTCCAAGCCCCTAGACTACACTCCCTCAGCAAATACATTTAGGTTACTGTGATGCCAGGGCACTGTCTGGGTAAAACTGCACACACTATATAAATTTATAGTTTCAAAGCACTGATTCAGCACTAATACAAAACAAGCGTTTATTCTGATGAAATGATTACTTGATGACTATGTACATATTAAGTTGATCAATTAGCTATTCTGGGAGCTTCTCTCCTGTTAGGTTCAGGTGGCGAGGCCTGGTCTGTTTCAGCTGTGGGGAGAGCCTGAGGCACACATGAGCAGAGATGATGGTGTCCACAGCTGAAGGGAACCTAGTCTCAGCCCAGCTTTGCTCTGAGTCCCTGTGGCCCCATCATTATAGAGAGCTCTTAGCAACATCTTCAAAAGTCTTGGATAGTTCTACTCCCAGGTGAGTGAGGACAGACAGAGGAAGGGGGTGCCTCCAGTTCTGAACACAAGTTGGCCCACAAATGCAGAGAAACGGCCCAGCCACACACATACACACACGCACACACAGAAGGATTCTGAAAAGGTGCCCTCCCCACCCCAGGCCCTAGATGGGCTCAAACATTCAGCACAGGGTGGTTTTGGAGGGGTGGGGGGGTGAGGTTGGGACAGAGTTTGTAGAGGACAAAGGGAGAGAAAGCAGATGACAAGAACTAGGATTTAGCTGGGAAACCAGCATGAGAGCGAAGCCACCAGGTAGGAGGTCCAGGCAGGCTCAGGAACAGGTACCTTTATGCTTTTTGGCAGCACCTGGCTCCGAGACACTCAGGGAGCTCTCAGACAGCTCGTCCCCATCAGCGTCCAGTAGGGCCGGGCCACTCCATGCAGCAGCCTGGGACTCCCTTTCCAAGTCCCAGGAGTCTAGTTCATTCTCCTGGAGCTCGAGAGCAGCCGGGGCATGGGCCGGCTCGTCTGGCTCAGGCAGGGCAGAGGCTGCAGCCACCTCTGTCGAGGACGGGGCATCCTTCTGGCGGGTGCTGTCCATGGAAGCCGCGTAGTCCAGCATCAGGGCAGCATCGTGGTCCTGAGAGAGCGAGGTCTGTCCAGGCAAAAGGCACCATTAGAGGCCAAGGTGAGTGATAAAGTCCACACAGGAGGATGACAAGGGACGCATGGAAGGAGGGAGGGTAAAACCTGAAAAACACTTTCCAAAACATTCTCCCTTGTGATTTCAAAGTATCAGAAGATACAGCTGACCTCTTAGAAGGTGCTTTACAACACAGGGCTGCTCATTAAACAGGGGGCTGAGGCAGGCTCTGCTCACAGCCTGGGCTCATGGCCACTTGCGCCAGAGGTGAGAGGTGGGGTGACTGCCTCCTTCTATGCAGACAGTGGCATGCACAGTGACCTGTGTGTTTCAGATTTAGTGTGTCTTTTAACTATTGTTCCTACAGCATTTTTATGTGACCACAAATAGAAATTATTCAGTACATGCTTCGTATCATTTTAAGAATTATATCTGTGTCTAAAAATATACAGGTGCTAAATTAATCAATGGGTTGAGAGTGGGCATAGTGGTTCATTGGAGGGTGGGAAAGTGACTGAGGGGGCATGGGGGGCTCCTTGGGGAGCTGGCCATTCTGCTAGTGATCCGAGTGGCAGTTACACAAGCAAGTTTGCTTCGTGACAATTGACAATCTGCTTTTCACACTCCTGGGCCAGCTTGCAGAAGCATGCACTGACTCAGGATGGACAATTTGAGTATCAATAAAAATAATAACTGCAGTGGATTCAAAACATTGAATATTAAGATCCACGAGTTCCTAATGATGGCAAAATACAACCTCAGAGAAAGCTTAGGGGAGATGATCATGAGCCTTGTCCCCATGCGGCTCATTCCTCCAGGACTGAAGAGAACCCAACAGTGGGTCCCGGCACTTCCAGAGATGCCGTCGGCCCCCTGCTGGCCACTATGGAGGTGCACTCAGGAAACCCAAGAGAGGCATCACCCAGGCTGGCATTCAAGACCACCTCTGAGCTGGTGCTGTTGGGACTTGGGACAAGGCCACCCACACTCTGGATACAATGGTGACGTTGGCACCTCCCAGGTCCTGTTCTGACCCCTCTCCCAGCAGTGGGGGCCAACTTTCAGTGTGCCCTCCTGCCCACCCTCTGGGTACCTTCACATCCTACAATGGTGACGTTGGCACCTCCCAGGTCCTGTTCTGACCCCTCTCCCAGCAGTGGGGGCCGACTTTCAGTGTGCCCTCCTGCCCACCCTCTGGGTACCTTCACATCCTTCCCCACTCCATGTTCAAAAATTCTTCCTCCTTATTCCTCTCCCACTCCAAATCAAAATCTCCCAACCATCCCGCCACTTGTTCACTTGGAAATGTCAAAAAAGAACAAGGGTCTGTGCCGTGGCCCCTTGCCATGAGGGGCTGGTCTCTCCAGCAGCCTGGACTGCATGGCTGCTGTCAGGACCAGATTCACATCCAGCACCTGCACTGAGCCGATGCCACGGAGCAGGAGAGGGGAAGGAGTAGAGATTGGGATGTTTTTTACAACGATTTTTGTTTCTCTCTGGTTATAAAAGGAATAAGCATTCATTTCAGAAAGTTAAAATGCTTTGAAAATGTATAACGTAGAAAATGAAAGTCCCCAGAAGCGGGTGGTGATGAGGGTGGAGGTTCTGCTCTGCAGGGGAGTCTCGCACTGTGTCCTTCTTTCTCTTGCAGTAATTTTTCTTGAAATGACTCACCAACCTCTCAACGCGTGAAGCATCGTGGATCAGAAACTTTCAATTTCCTTCATAAAATGGATAAACGACATAAACACAAAACCACAAATAACTCCCTTGTTGGGGAGGAACATAATTTGACATTTGTAAATGGAACTTTCTGGATGTTGATCAAGTGCGTGGGTAACTTCTTCAGAGGGCAAAAGCTGCAGGTCCCTGGCAGATACAAACACCTCCCCTGGCTGCAGCACCTGTACCTTTGAGATCCCTGATATGATGAGAGTGCTTTTCTTCCGCGGCGACTTGAGTTTCAGCTTTGAAGATTCACTGAGCTGCCGAATGGCCACTTCAGCCACTGGATCCGAACCATTCAACACCAACAATTCTGCCAGAAGGAAGGTAGTGTTGAGTTCATGAGCAAAAACAAAAAACTTCTGTGGGAATGAATTTCCAGGGGTGATGGAAATGGTCTATAAGGAGTGGTTAGCAAACCTTTTCAATAAAGGGCCAGAGAACGAATAGTCTGGCTTTGCAGGTCATCTGGTCTCTGAAACAATAACTCAGTGGTGCCTTTGTAGAGTGAAAGCAGTCAGAGACCTTACGTAAATGATCGGGCAAGGAGAGGTTCCAATAAAACCTTATTTAAAGAAACAAGTGACAGGCCAGATTTGGCCTGTGGGCCACAGTTTGCTGAACTTTTGTCTACACCTTGATTCCTCAGGTATTAGAGGACACTCACTGTAGTGTCCAGTTAAGATTCATGCATTTCATTATATGTAACTTATACCTCACTAAAGTTGATGAAAAATGACAAAAGTAAGCAAACGAACAAAAAATCTCTTACCTTTGGAAGATTTTGACCTTTGAAAGGCAATGTGGTTACTCCTTTTTTCTCCCAAGAGTGGTAAGATACAAAGAACTGTAATCAGAGCCAGGCAGGCCAGCCTCTACGGAACACTTAACACATACGGACCCGGCACTGTGCAAAGACTCTGTGCTCATTGTTTCATTCATTCATCCCCTGAGTCCTATGAGGCAGACACTTCTTTTAATCCTCATTTGACAAATGGGGAAAATGTCTGGCAGCCAGGTGGGCAACAGAGCTGAGATGCCCAGCCAGCTGTCTCTGACACAGAGCTGATGCTTATAACTTACGCTATTGGGCTATGGAAAAGTTAAAATTGCAAAGCTATCAAAGTAGCAGTTTGTTAAAAGGAACTTTTCCTGTCTCAGTTTTGGCCACGACCCAAGGAGGGTTAATGCTACATTCTCGACAAGACCACTGTGGTCGAGAACTGCTTGGCCACCATGATGTCGTGAGAGAGTAAGAAACATACAGGAGTCTGCAAAAATTTCATGGGAAATGCACATTATGAAAAGACTATGCACAGATTTAAAGATTTTTTGCACCAAAATCAACTCATACTAAGTTGTTACAACATGTCTGCACAGGTTCTAGTTTGAGGCACTAAGAAGAATAAGACATTAGTTTGAAAAGAGCTCCTATCAGAGCAACATGAATTCTCCTAAAATTTAAGCAAGAACAAACATCAAATTTATGGTGAAGTTTGGGTGGAAGAATGGTGAAATCACTGATGCTTTATGAAAAGTTTATGGGGACAATGCTCCAAAGAAATCAGCAGTTTACAAATGAATAACTCATTTTAAGAAGGGATGAGACAATGTTGAAGATGAAGTCCACAGTGGTAGACCATCCACATCAATTTGAGAGGAAAAAATTAATATTGCTCATGCCCTAATTGAACAGAATAGACAATTAACAGCAGAAACAATAGCCAACACCATAGACATATCAGTTGGTTCAGCTTTCACAATTCTGACTGAAAAATTACAGTTGAGCAAACTTTCCACTCCATGGGAGCCAAAACTGTTGTGCCCAGATCAGCTGCAGACAACAGCAGAGCTTTCAATGGAAATTTTAAACAAGTGGGCTCAAGATCCTGAAGCACTTCCTTGAAGAATTGTAAGAGGAGATGAAACATGGCTTTACTAGTACAATCCTGAAGACAAAGCACAATCAAAGCCATGGCTACCAAGAGGTGGAAGTGGTCCAGTCAAAGCAAAAATGGACCAGTCAAGAGCAAAGATCACGGCAACAATCTTTTGGGATGTTCAAGGCATTTGACTTCTTGACTCTCTGGAGGGCCAAAGAATGATAACATCATATTATGAGAGTATTTGGAGAAAGTTAGCCAAAGCTTTAGCAGAAAAATGTCCAGGAAAGCTTCACCAGAGAGTCCTTTTCCACCACAACAAAGCTCCTGCTCATTCCTCTCATCAAACAAGGGCAATATTGTGAGAGTTTTGATGGGAAATCATCAGGCATCCACTGTACAGTCCTGATTTGGCTCCTTCTGACTTCTTTTTGTTTCCTAATCCTAAAAAATCTTTAAGGGGCACCCATTTTTCTTCAGTTAATAATGTAAAAAAGACTGCAATGATGTGGTTAAATTCCCAGAACCCTCAGTTCTTTAGGGATGGACTGAATGGGTGGTATTATTGCTTACAAAAGTGTCTTGAACTTGATGGAGCTTATGTGGAGAAATAAAGTTTATATTTTTTATTTTATCTTTTAATTCTATTTTTCCACAAACTCTTTGAAGTCTCCTCATATATACAGTCTTAGTCCTTGGTTCCAGGCACAGAGTACCTTAAACTTTGGAATTTCTGAGTGATGGGGTAAGAGGAATGTCTTTAGTTATTCTTAATAATCCCCTTTCAACCACACCTGAGTTTATGCAAATGGGGGTGGGGCTGGTTGCCAGAGGAACCAATGCAATTAGAGGGTTGGAGCTCTCAGCTTCTTGGACCCCTCACTACCTCCAGAGAGGGGAGAGAGGCTGAAGAATGAGTTTCATCACCAATGGTCAATGATTTAAACAATCATGCCTGCATAACGAAACCTCCATAAAATCTCTCTCTCTTTTTTTTTTTTTTTGTCTTTTCTGTGACCAGCCGCACCGCGCTCAGCCAGTGAGCGCACCGGCCATGCCTATATAGGATCCGAACCCACGGCGGGAGTGCCGCTGCGCACCCAAGCCCTGCACTCTCCCGAGTGTGCCACGGGGCCGGCCCAAAGTCTCTTGATGACAGTGTTCAGAGAGCTTCCAGGAGGGCGGTATACCCCAAACCCCACAGGGACAGAAGCTCCTGAGCTCAGGACCCTTCTGGGCCTTGCCCTACGTATCTCTTCATCTGGCTGTTCATTTGTATCCTTTATAATAAAGGGAAACCCTGATTTGTAGCCAAGTTGGACATAAGTGTTGGTGGGGCTGTGCCTTTAACCTAGGGGGTCTGCATTAACTCCAGGTACTTAGTGTCGGAGTTGAATTAAATTGTGGGACACCCAGTTGGTGTCTGCAGAGAACTGGTCAATTGCTTAGTGTAGAAAACCCACATGCTGTTGTCAGAAGTGTTGTGGACAGAGGAACAGTCTTTCCTCTAGCCACTGATCCACAGTGAGAAGAGAGAAGGTCAAGAGAAAGGACGCAGTGAGGACTCCTTAGAAGAAAGCTGTGCTTTCATTCCCGAAGCCACGAGGGAGAGGGGTGCAGCGTGACCTCCTCACACCAAGTCTAGTGCTTCTACGCAGCCCAGAACACCAGTCAAAGTGCCAGGTACCCCTGGCTGCACAGTGGAGAGTGACCCTGGGGGCTGGCATGTCCAGATGAAGAACCTACAGCAGGAATGGCAGCCTGGGATCTTTTTAAAAGGGATGCTGCCCAGTTAAGGGTCCACACAGTGTGAGGTGATAGGGTGTACTGCCAAGGGTTTGAGAAACTGAGGGAGGGGCATGGCCTGTGTCCAAGAAGTTGCAGGTGGGGGACCCGGCAAGGCAGTATCCAAAAGACCACGAAAATTCCCACGAGGGAAGGAGGCTGTTGTAAACTTCCAAAAGGCCAAGAGAAAACCATCTTAAAACAGTGCCCATCAGGTGAAAACCTTCTACTCCTCTGACAGATGCTCATGCCCCATCTCTGACCCTGGCAAGGTCAGAAGCAGCACTCAGTGGACAGGGAGAGATAAGTAGAAGGAGGCTGCCCACCTGCCCTTCTCTGGCCACAGATCAGAAAAGGTAATTCCCAAGCTTAGACTGTGCCATGATTTAAAGAGACAGTAAGAGACCTCCTTAAAGAGGTTTATTACCTGCAAGTGACCCTAAAAGTGGGAAACTTGCATTCAGAGGGCTGGGGGAAAACTACTCCACCTAAGCATGTTTGAGCAGACAGCAGGAGACAAAAAAAAGTGGCCATAATGATTACATCCCATCAATCCTGTTTGTTTGATGATGTGAACGTAACCAGTGTGTTGAACAACAGAAAAAATAAAGTTCATAAATTGTAGAAAGAGAAGCCCCAGCTAGATGTTTATGTTTATATGCTAAAGCATTTCCCAAAATAGAGCAGGAGCCGAAGGCTGCTCCTGGTCTTCCATCAACTTCCATGTCTCTGTTCTCCTCCACATAGCAGTCAAACACACAGAAAAGAAAAGAAGCTCTCTTACTCGCTTCTGGTCAAGATGGCAGAATAGACAGTCCCCAGCGTGTCAAGATGGCAGAATAGACATGGCAGAATAGACAGTCCCCAGCGTCACTCTCTCCCACAAATCAACCGATTTACAACTATAAAAAAGCAATGACAGCTAAGCTGGGGCCGCTAGAGCTCAAGGGAAGAGGAGAGACCTACGGAGTGCATGAAGGCAGGAGAAGCCACGATGAGAGAAAGAACTGCTCAGAGTGTTTCGGGCCACGGCTGCTTTAAGGCTCGAGCTGCTGAGCACACAGAGCAGGAGCTGGCAGAAGCCACAGCTGTGCCCTTTGGATGGAACTACTTGGAGGCGGTAGGGGAGAAGAGGGCCTTGGTGGCCCCCAGGACAGCAAGACCACTAATAGGGTTCCTGTGGATCCACAAAGGAGTGAGGAGCCAGAACAACTGAAAAAAAGGAGCCATTCAGAGGCCTGCGAGTCACCACAAGGGACTGGTGCACAGCCCATCCCATGGGAAGTGTTTGGAGCATAAGTGGTGGGGGAGACGGCGGGGGCAGGGGGAGACACTGGGACACAGCAAGGACAGCCGATCCGCCCCCCAATCAGCACAGGACCACTCAGAAGAGACTGGTCGGGAATGCAGAATGGCATGGGGTGCAGTTTGATGAAAAGACTCAGGCCCAGATCAGAGTTTCTACACAACCCAGGTGCACTGGGTCTCTGGAGAGCCAGAAGTACTTATAAGGTCAACCATTAAGCTCTGAGCTGCACAAAAAGCCTTCCCTACGGAAACAGCCGCAAAACAGCAATTTAGCTCAACCACAGAGCTCAAGTACTGGTTCCCACAGGAAGTTCCCCCATTTTTAGAAGTAAGTAAAGGACAAAAGATTAGTTCCAGCCCAGGCACACCACCAGTGCCTTGGGGCCTAGCTGGGGACCTGAGGCACTGAGCTGGGCACTGGACACCCCTCCCACAACCAGGCCCACTGCCAGCGCCTTGGGGCCTGCTGGGGGCTCCAAGGCATGGAGTCACGGACTGGACCTCCCCACAACCAGGCTCACCACCAGCACCAAGGAGCATGGCAAAAACATCACCTCTATGTGAGTGGCCTACCACAGCCACCACAATAACCACAGCTGCTGTGAAAGTGGCTAGATGCCCCAACCACCACACAAATGGTCCACCAGCCACCGGGCACATTGACACAAGGAAAGTCACCAACAGAGACCAAAGAAAAGAAGAGGATGTCTCTCTCCACAAAGCCCATTCCAGAAAGACAGAGGAAGCATCTGCTCTCTGATAATATTGGGGGACCTGAACACACCTCTCAGCATTGGACAGATCATCAAGGCAACAAATCAACAGAGTAACCATTACTCTTCCAGAGGGAGAGAAGAAATCTAGGGTTATCAGCGGTGGGGGGGGGGAGGGGGAGAGGGGGACAGGGAGAGATTGAACAAGGGGCATAAAGAATAAGTACGATTTGTAACAATATATATGCTAGTAATATTGATTTGATCAACATATGTCAACATCGAACCCCCAAAGAATGTATAATCAATTATGATCCAATTAAAGAAAAAGAAAAGAAAAGAAACCCTCCTCCCAAACCCTGGAATAGGAAATATTTACTCATCAGCTGAGGGAGACTTGTGAGAACCACTCTGGGACTCTAAGAGCATAGAGCACCTGCTTTACCTGTGTCTGAAGAGGAGAACGTTTTGCTGACAGGGGCGCTGTGGCACGCGATGGCCTGGACAGAGATGTCCTTCTCAATCACCTTCACCTTGACGGGCGTCTTCACAGGGGACTCTGCCAGGGAAAAGTCCTGATTACAAGGAGCAATCCCAAGGCGGTTTTGATCAACAGTCACTGAAACATGAAATGATGCCGCCCACTGCAACTTCCGTTCACATAGTCAGTAAAGGCAAGGACAAAACCTTAACATTTAACAGTCTCTCTCATTCTTTTTTGGGGGGGTGGTAAAGGCAGTGTTGGGAGCCCAGTTTTACATAAACTTTCAGAAACATTTTAACTAAGCCAGAATCTCCCTTTCTATTTTGCATTCCCAAACTGTGCCAAGTGATCTATTCTGGGAAGATAATATTTTTATACAAGCAGAGACTCAGGATAAATTAAAAAATAATAATAAATCATACTGATACAGAAGTTGCCACCAAGGCAGCAGCTGTAGGGACAGGTACAAAATTCAGCAGGATCTAAAATGATGGACTGTCAAGACTTCTAGTAAATGATTTTTAGCAAAAGAAGGTCTATGCTGACCACTTGTGCCTAATTTTTCAAGACAGCATTCTGCCCCTTCATGAACATGATGGAGTTCTTAATTGAACTTGGGTGCAGTTACACCAAAAAGTATAACAATTTATAACATCTAGATTTTAGCTTCAGGATATGCTAAGGGGCTGAGCCTTGCTTCAGCTTATCATGTCTTTATCTGACAGAATAAAGACAACTGTCCAACAACAACAACAAAAAAAAACTAAGCGCAAGTCTTGCCAATGGCCATACTTCCTGTGCCACAGATTTTCTAACTAATGCTCAGTGCTGCGGCCTGCAATGCTCTGCAGTTGGCAGTGGCAAGGCATTTACAGGGCAAGTGTGACCGGGCAGGGTTCCTGCAGGGACACCATTCTCTCTGTTGCCTCACCGGAGCTCAGTGGGGATGCCCTCCCCAGGTCAAAGCGAGGCTTGGTCTTCACAGCAGTGACAGTCGTGACCACGGTCCCACAAGGCATCACTGTGCGGTCCTTTTCTATCTTCGTCGCAGGAACAGGGAGAGGGACTTGCCAGGACTTCAATTCACCAGGTTCTATGTAAGAAAACTGCAGAGAAGGCTGGTTACTTGTTTTGTAGTAAGTGCAAAGTTTGATGAGTCACATAACGCTGGTTTTCTTTGAAACAGCCACTGATTTCTTCAGTCAATGTCACTTCACATTTTCACTTAACTGGGATATTCTTGGAATTGACATTGAACCATGAGACCCATGCTTAAACATAGCCAACCCAATACATAATGATGGGAATAAAAGCTGGAGAGCCAAACAAAAATCCTTAAAGGGCCTTTTTGGGTTAGGCCCATGAAATGGCATCATGAAAGGTATTTCACATAGCAGAACAACTCTACACTATAACAAACGGGATGTGCTCTATTCAAGTCTGGAAATGCAGAGTGTGGAATAGCATCTCTTCTTAGATGAGCTCTTTATTTCTCACTGAAACAAGAGCAAGACTCTGGCAGACACAAATTAAGATGCTACTCATAACAAGTAGATCGAGCTGGGACCTGGCCATGGACACTGCCATACCTCTGCAGTGACAGAACCCAGCACCGAGCTGCTGGAGGAGGACCCACTGGTCAGCGTGAAGCTCTGTGGTCCAGAAGGCTGCTTCTTAAATAAATCTAAAGGGACCGTCGTCATTGCCAACAGACCTAAAGAGACAGGACACAAGCAAGGAGTACTGTTGATGTTTCCAGGGGCTCCCTGACAGCAGAAGGGTTAGTGTGAGCTGCTATGACCAGTGCAAACCCCCAATGTGCATCCTGTCAACTTGAAAATGCTCAAGTTGCAGAAAACGTTTAAATGTCAATGTCATAAAAGACAAAGAACGGCTGTGGAAGTGTTGCAGACCAAAGGAGCCTAACGCAATATGACAATCAGAGGTAACACCTGACCCTAAACTGCAGAGGAAAATGACTGCATGAAGAACATTACTGGGTCCACTGGCAGAAACTGGAATGTGGGTGGTAGATTAAAGAACTGAACTGATGTAAATTCAGGAAGCTGATAGCTGTTTAGGGATGTGTAAGAAGTATTCCTATTCTTAGGAAATACATACCAAAGAATTTACAGGAAAAGGGCCAAGATGCATGTAATTTACCCTCAAGTGGGCTGCACATTTACCCTCATTGTGTGTGTGTGTATGTGTGTGAAGAGAGAATGCGGGTGAGGGAGAGAGAGACAGAACGACCAAGTGTCGGCACAAACAATAAAGGAAACCGGGTGAATGTTAAAGACACGTGAGTTTGGGTGAAGGTTGTGGATTGTTCTTCACACTGTTTTTTTTAAGTTTGAAATTTCATAGATCCCATCAGGCTGGGCTGGAATGAAATCCGGATGGAGCCAGCCAGAGTGGTGACCCAAGGATGGGATTAGAAATCAGCTTCTCTCTAGGCTGGTGGCGGAGCACCCCCACCCCCGTGCTTGTCCCCGGAGCCCTCCCTGGGAAAGTGAGTTCTTATCTCATGAGCATCCCAGTTATCTCACAACCAGAGTCCAGGCATGGCCTCAGGATTCTTGCTAATGACCAGGACGTAATTAATTAGTTATGAGAAATAACTGCCTTCTAATTTAAGAGGTAACCAAATGATTTGATTTCATAGCTGGATAAGCTAGGCAAGGACCCACCCCCCACCCTTTTCCAATTTTGGTATGTTTATGGGGATTTTTAAAAACCTCATAAATACTGAAACTACTGACTTATACACATGCACACACAGATCCTCGTTCACTTTAGTGACTTTACCTCTAACCGTTGCTTTCTTGTGTCTAAATCGTATGTCCAATTTAAGCTCCTGTGGCTTATTTTATAAGGAAAAGCCAGCTGAAATTCCTAGCAACAGAAAGTAGAATGGTGGGTGCTGGGGCCGGGGGGAGGGGGGTAGGGAGTTAGTGTTTAATGGGACAGAGTTTCAGTTTTGTGAGATAAAAAGTTCTGGAGATGGACAGTGGTGATGTCTGCACAATAGTGTGAATGTGCTTAATGCCACTGAACTGTACACTTAAAAATGGGTAAGACTGAAAATTTTATGTCATGTGTACTTTACCACAATTAAAAAATTTGTTTTTAAAAAGAGGTCTGTTGAGGATAGAAGGGATCAGATGTGCTTCTCCAAGCCAAGAATTGTTGAGCAAAAGATTTGAGATACTTTTTTGGAAAACAAACAAACAAAAAACAGTTGAACGTACTCTTTCCCAAAACATATGACCTTGTTGATAATGGAAATTCACTTTTGACCAACCATTCCCTTGAGAAAACCCAGAGCAATTTAGGGGAGGAGGTTGGCCTGCTCTGCTGGGTCTCCGTCTCCCCCGAGCCTCTTGAGCCTCTCAAGCATGGTCGGGGCGGCTGCACAGCCCTCCCAGACAGCAGGCCCCATGCACTTGCTCAACACCCACCTTCTGAGGATCGCCCAGCCTCTGAAATCTGCAGGTATAACTCCTTCGACTTGGCATTCAGCTCACTGTGGAAAGGGAGAAAGCTGTGATGCCTTAAAAATTCAATGGTTTACTGTGTTTTTGAAATAGAGTGGTTTTTCTGATTATAGAAAGAAACATAAAGTTGTCAATACTTAAGAAACTACAGAAACTTATAACCAAAAAAGGGAAGATCACTTGCAACCTCCCCATCCAGAAACAGCCACTGTTAATCTCTGGTGACCAACCTTTCAGGACTGTCCAACACAACTCTTTGTGATAACAGTGACAGAAAGAAGTACTGTCAAGTGACGCAGAACACTTGAAATGTGGCCAGTGAAAACTGAGGAACTGAAGTTAATTTTGTTTAATTTTCATTAAGGAACCACATGTGGCTAGTAGTCACCATATTGGAAAGCATAGATATTTAATTATCTAAAGACAAAATATGGAACAGAACTTACCTCCCCTTCCTTCGTAACCTATTTTTTTTTTTTACTTCAGATATCACGAACATCTTTCCATGTCAATAACTACAAAGCAATACCATTTTTAACAGGCGTCTAGTATTCTGTGATTTAGTCATACAAGATTTTATTTAGCCAACTCCTTAATAACTGGTTGGTTGTTTCCAATATTTCATAATTATAGACAAGCTAAGATAAACATCCTTATACATACATCTTTGTACACTGCATGATTATTTCCTTGGAAAAACTGTAATTGCCAGTCAAAAGGCACATATATTTGAGATTTTTTTTTTTTAAATTGACGATGTCCAGAATGTTTATTCCAATTTACACTTCCACTAGCCATTACCACTCTCCTTTTTTTATTGTTCAAAATATTTTAACATTTACTTGTACATATTTGTGGGGTACAGTGTGTTGTTTCAATACATGCATGTACTGCACAGTGACTCACTAGGGGTAGATGGCACAGTCTTATACCCATGAGGCCACCCCTTCCCCTCTCCCCTCTCTCCTCCCAGCCTCTGGTAACCATTATTCTCCTCTCTACTTCTATGAAAACCACTTTTTTTTTTTTAATATCCCACATATGAGTGAGATCATGTGGTACTTTCGTGCCTGACTTACTTAACATGATGGTTTCCAGTTTCATCCATGTTTCTGCAAATGATAGAATATAATTTTTTTTGTATAGCTGAGTGGTACATTATCACTCTCTTATACTTTACCAACATGTAAGGTGAAAAGCAGTCCTTCTCTTTTAAGTGTGTATTATTTTAATTATTCTGAGATTGAACATCTTTATAGAGGTTTAGGGCCATCTCTAGTTCTTGCTTTTGTATTTTGAGGTGGGAAATTTAACTCAGTTTTCTGAGGAACTGTTTACATTCCCATTAATGACTTTTAAAAGTTCTTTACATATATACACACATGGGCCATTTTCTTCCACTACCTTTCACAATTGTTTATTGTTTAAGTATCAGATAGCAATTGATTTCTATATTTTTGTAGTCAGCCACTTTATGAAATTATTATTTCTATTAGATTTTCTTTCTTTTTTTTTTTTTGTCTTTTTCTGTGTCCGGCAACGGATCGCAACCCTCAGTGTTGCCCCCGCACCGGACCAGGGACCGGCAACGGGATCGCAACCCTCGGCGTTGCTCCCGCGCCTCGCTCAACCAGTGAGCGGGAACCAGTCTGTATGTGGGATCCGAACCCTCGGGCGGGAGCGCCGCCGCGCTTCCCAAGCGGCGCACTATCCAGTGCGCCACCGGGCCGGCCCAGTTTCTATTAGATTTTCTAATGCCACTTATTTCTATCCTATATCCATCATTATTTCTAACAGTTTTAGTTGATTTTCTTGAGTAGTCCAGATATACAATAACATCATCCCCAAGAAATGACTACTTTTGCCTCTTCCTTAACAGTATTTGTATATCATTTCTTTTTCTTATCTAATTGCATTAACTAGCACTTCTAGAATTAAACAATGGGTATCCTTCTCTTGACTTTAGTGGGACTGCTACTGGTATTTACCATTTACGGTGATTTTTAAAATCTTATTAAAGAAGTATCCATACATTTTGTTCTAATTAAGTTTTTAAAAATGGGAATGGGTATTAAATGTCACAGAATATCTTTTGGGTATACATAGATAAGAAGTTTATCTTCTCCTTTGATCTAGTAATACAATGAATTTCATAAGTAGATTTCCTTACATTAAATCATCCTTACATTCCTGGTATGAACTCAACTGGCTTTATTTGTAATGTGTTGCGGTTAAATTTTATTTGATAGTATCTTATTTCTGATTCTTACATCATTATTTATAAGTGGTCTATACTTTTCCTTTTTTCTCTTCTTTGTCAGACTTTGGTGTCAATCAGAAGTTTCCTTCTACTCTACTCTGGATGGTGTATGTTTCTAAGGGAAGTGGGAAACTCAACAACAGTTCTGTTTTGTAACAAAAGTGCATGAGGAGAAAACTTAGATACTAAGACCTGGCTTTAGGAAGAAATCCATGCTTGACTTAAGATGCTTAAGACATATTTTGTGTTTTATTATTTTATTTTATTTTTTGGTGTAAATAGTGCTACAAAATGATTTCAGGATTTGGTGGTTGTGGATAGATACAGCTGTGGAAACCCATGCCCATAATAACCTGGTATACTTACAAGGTGAATTCTTCTTCCCATGTGAGGTCAGTAGTGTTTTTTGCTAGGGTGCTGGAGAACCTCTGAACAGGATCATTCAGCTGAGCTGTACACACTGGGTTAATGTTGCCTATGATCAAATAAAGAGACAGCATATTGGCTTTTATTTTTGTTTTTTAATTGCATTAAGACATTATGCATATAAAAGAAAGGCTAGATTAAATGACTAAGGCCTTGCTTTACCCACTCCTGACAGTCCATCCTTTCTTTCATTTGCCATTTACAAACTCTCAAAGCACCAGACTTCATTAGGGTTAAAGACTTTTTTCCTGAACTTGATGCCAGCAGTCCTGGGCTGACCCCAAGTGCCCTTTCTCCCTCATCAGTTCCAGCTGCAGGCATAGCTTCCCAGGTTCGGGGGGACCTCTCCCAGAGGTGACATCATTACATGCAGAGATGTGGCCCCCAATTTTAGATAGGACTAACAGCTTGCCAGAGATGGCTAATTTTAAGCCTAAATTTGAGGTGACTCCTAAATTTGGAGATTCCTCACAGAGAACCAATATCCCTACTTGCAACAGACAGGTGTTTCTATTACCTGGTCCTACTCAAAGACCTTTTCGGGGATATTTGATACAGACAATGAGACTTTTCATTAGCAAACCAGCTGTTTCTGCTTTGAGGCAACACTTTACCATTAGCACAAAGTCCTGAATATACAAGGGGACTTCAAAATGTTTGTGGGAAAGTGGAATTAAAACATAAAAATAAAAAATATAACCTTTATTTCTCAACATAACCTCCATCAAGTTCAAGACACTTTTGTAAGCGATGATACCAGCCATTTAGTCTGTCCCTAAAGAAGTGAGGGTCCTGGAAATTTAAACTCGTCAATGCAGTCTTTTTACATTATTAACTGAAAAAAAATGGGTGCTTTTTAAAGATTTTTGTTTTTAAGATTAGGAAACACAAAGAAATCAAATCAGGATTGTAGGTGGATGCCTAATGACTTCCCATTGAAACTCTCACAAAATTGCCCTTGTTTAAATGAGAGGAATGAGCAGGAGTACTGCTGTGGTGGAGAAGGACTCTCTGGTGAAGCTTTCCTGGGCGTTTTTTCTGCTAAAGCTTTGGCTTTCACCAAACACTCTCATACTAAGCAGATGTTCCCATTCTTTGGCCCTCCAGAATGTTCTTTCTTCCCTCACCCTTCAAGTATGCAAAAATGGGATTGGAGTTTTAACTGTCTCACATCACTGTTTTTCAGATGTTCTTCTTTGAACAAAGTAGGGATCACACTGCAGACCCATAGGAGGGATGCCACAGGAGAAGTCAAAGGCCACTGAGACCCTGCGAGGCAGCCACTTCCACCTTGCTCAGGTGCAAGAGCAGTCTCTTCTTGCAGGTAGGCCAGGCCCCACCATCACCCAGGAGCCCCTCTGCCAGCACCATCACCCACCTGAAGCACCAGGATCACTCAGCAGCGAGGCTCGGATGTTCTTCACCAGTAATTTTAGTTCATGAGCCCTTGGAGGTTTAGGAGGGCAGGATTCCTGAGCAGTAGGTGAAGTATACTGTAGATTCTGCAAACAAGAAAAACAAAGAGCCATGGCAGTGGGGGAGACCATGGACCAAGGAGGAGGTGGCTGCTGGACTTCTGTTACAGGGAGGGGTTCTTCAGGAAAATCTGCATAGGGATCCTGAGCCCCAAGGCCTGCTCTGTAGTAATGCTTCCTTCTAATGGGAAGGGAGGGCACCAACACACCATGACCACATCCTCTGTGTGGGAGCCTTTTCTAACCCAAATAAAGCAAGTGAAAGTGGCAATGTGTTCAGCCTCGGAGAGGGTCTCACTGTGGGTGGGGACTGGGACACAGTTCACCGTGGAACCACACTATCTGACCCAGGGTAGGTGCTTAAGAGAGTGAGGATGTCCTCTCCAGCAGCCACTGCCTAGTAGCACCGAGTGGGACAGTGGTCAGATGCGAATGGCCAGGGTGTCAGCATGTGACCACGTCCTACCTCCCGGCAGAGTCTGACATCAGCATGAGGGATATCTAAGCACTGAATGGCATTTCGTGAGCAAGGGGACAGGGGCAGATGCAGCTGGGACCAGCTTCATCCCCGTCACAGCCTCCACTAGGCATTGAGATATTTACAGCAGAAAGCATCCCCAAATCTGGAGGACCCCACCTTCAAAGCAGTGTTTCCCAAACTAGCTTGCACCTTTCACTTACTGCTACAGCTGTTCTGCAAAAGGGCTCCTTTAGTTGCAAATGTTTGGGAATCCAGAAGGGCTTCTCAGAGACTTAATGGGCCTCTATGCAGGGAAAACCTTCCAGGCAGAGATCCTGGGTACTGATCTGACCTAGAATGCTTTTTGTGGGAGACACTTAGTAACATCTCAAGTGACACTAGTGTTCCTTATGTCACCATCTAGAAAACACTGTTCTGAACCAGGTGCTTTGCAACTGTGACTGAGGGTGCTGGGAGGCCAGGAAGAAATTGCAAAAGCCCTTCAGATTAAGGCACATGAGTGCTGGGGACATGTGGGATGCAGGTGAGATATTTTTTCAGTTGTATACGTGTGATGGTTCATTTTATGTGTCAACTTGACTGGACCATGGGGTGCCCAGGCATTTGGTCAAACATTATATCTGGATGTCTCTGTGAGGGTGTTTTGGGATGAGCTTAACGTTTAAATTGATAGACTAAGTACAGCAGGTGGCCCTCCCCAATGTGGGTGGGACTCACCCACTCTGTTGAAGGCCTGAATAGAACCGAATGCCGACCCTTCCAAGAGTTAGAGGGCACTCCTGCTGCTTGACTGCTTGAGCTGGGACAGGGGTATTTTCCTGCCTTCAAACTTGAACTGAGGCATTAGCTCTTCCTGGGTCTTGAGCCTGTGTCCTCTGGATGGGAACACACACTATCGGCTCTCCTGTTCTGCAGCTTCCTGACTGCAGATCTCAGGCCTTGTCAGCCTTTGTGACCGTATGAGCCAATACCTTATGATAAATCTATTTATATACTCATTCTGTTTCTCCAGAGAACCCTGACCAATACGATAAGTATACTATTTTGTTAAATAAACTCTACAGATTTTATTTAAAGGCATTATTTAATTTATGGTAGTTTGGGTCCTTTTATTTTCTGAATCCATGGATTCTAATAATACACTACTATTTCATGAAGTTTCTCAAAGTTTGACTTTAAAAATTTATTGTCATATTCAAAACAGTCACCTCTGATCTACAATAAACCAGCGTGATAGAATTGCTGAAAGGGACAACATCTGGGACCCTGCTCTCACCTCAGAGGCAGGGCTTAACCCCCTCTCTTTGGGGAGGCTGAGCCCCCACCCCAGCATCACACCCCTGGGAAGCCCCAGGAGTGTCCACAAGCCCCTCGCTGTTCTGACCTGCTGGACTGGCTGCCCCTCTAAGTGACAGGAGGGGCAAGACAGGTTCTTACATTCCTGTGACCCTCCAGTGCCCAGAGCTTAGCACAGAACACTGTGATCCACTGATATTTGTCCAATGAATCAAAGCCTCCAGACTCTGCGTACTAATAGCTGGTGATTTCTGCCCTAATAAGAACCAGAGACTAAGCCTCCATCACACAATACATGTGAAAAGCTATATTTTCAAACTGACTTCACCAAGAACTATATAATAAAGATGGATATTCTACCATGCTACATAAAATCACTGCCAATAAATATACTTTTTTAAACTTCAGGGACTATAAGCATCTGTTTTGCATAGACATGGTAAAAAGATCTGCTTATAATTGAGAGAATTCACCTTAAGCAAAGGCTGTTGATGTGTTGCTTAGGCCCAACAGGGCTGAGCAGGGCAAAGGCTCTGGACAAGAATTTAACGAGAGGAATGACGAGTGCCCTCATTAGATGGTGCAGATGGACCCAGAGTGGGGCAGGAGGTGGGCTCTATGGAAAAAGGGGCCACACAGGTGAGAGAAGCGTCCTTGTTCCTGCATGGCCCAGAGGAGATAAATCCCCAAGAGGCAGACATTGTTCCAGGTGGGGCCGGGCATCAAGCTGGCCCCAGCCCAGACTAAAGGGTCTCAGTCCATCTGAGGCAACTTGCTCTGCTTGCTTCTGGGGCAAAAGAACCTCAATCCTGGAAGGATGAGGTCCAAGACAGCAGACTGCAAAGGGACAGTGCAAAGTCAAGTCTCGCCTCATGAAAAGCAGAGGGCCAGGGCCCGATCATGGTGGGGCCACACTGGGCGGCCCATAACTTCCTCCTTCCATCTTGTGGAGCTCGGGAAACCTGTGCTCCAAATCTGAGGCTTCATCCCAAGCCCAGGGCATCATCTATCGCCAAGCATCCATGAGATCCCGGCTCCGCCTTGGGAGGTGGAGGAACGTGGGAAAGGTTATTTCTAGCAGGGCTGGGAAGTACCCCGGCCCCACAAACAGGCTTACCTGGACTTCCTTCGCATCCGTGGGCTTGGTGCTCAGGACCACTGAGGGAGAGGCAGAAACGACCAGATGCTTCAGAATGTCCTTAAGGGCTTCAGATATGGCATTTGTCTCGACCACCTGGTCCTGGTGAAAGAGAAGAAAGTCATCCCATCGCCTTCTGATCCCTGCTCCCTGCTCCCTGCTCCCAAGTTCCCCTCCTCAAACACCTAAAACCACAGAAAGCAGGAAGGAAATCCCTTTCAGATTTCAGATGCATTTTTGTAAAAACTGTGGCAAGAGAGGAGGCCCTGATGTCGGAAGCCAGCCACTGGACTCAGCCCCAGTTATAAGTGGAATGCCCTCCCCTAAGGAGACAGGATCTGGTCCTCAGACCCAGGGAATGCCAAGGGGAACCTGCAATTTTGTGACCTCGCAGTTCTTGTCCTTGGCAGCACATGAGTGCTAAAACATTAAACCCACATCTGGGTGAGGGGCAGGCTTCGGAATTTTTAAAAGTGGCCAGGGGATTCTAGGTACAGTTCAGGTGGAGAGCATAAATCCACTGAAGCCGTCCCCCCACAGTGCCCTGTGAAGCCAGGAGGCCTGTCCCATGTCCCACAGGCCCCACATCAGCCTGGCAAGGGTGGCTGCTAATATCAGAGATCCCCTAAGCCTCAGTCCACCAATGTGGTTGCCCTACCGCACATGCATCCTCACACATGCCAAAAGAGGAATCATCAAAACTTACGCACTGACCTCCTCCAGGGCCTTGGGCTGGATCTCAATGGCCATTTCAGGCACGCTGATGAAGGACCACCTAATCTGGATGTCCTCTCTCTTTTCTTTCATGTGTAGCTCCAGCTATTTAAAAGAAAAAAAGGTTATTGGAGGGCTGCTCTTTCCACCAGAGCCTTAATATACGTTTGTGTGTGTGTGTATGTGTTTGCATGTGTGTGCATGCGTTCATTTATGGATTTATTTTCATAGACAATTGCTTGGCCTCCCCCTTGGCACACTATGTGCTCTCAACATGCAAAGTAAGACCCCCAAACTCCCTTCACTCTCCCCCATCCAGCACCTTCCCTTCTCACCCTACCACTCAAAGAAGAACCTTAGCATTCGTGGCCGAAGGCCACATGTCATTAAGGCTCTGCAGGCTCTTTTAAATGAATAATTTGCTGTGCTTTACAGTTCTCTTTCTGGGAGTGTCACCAAGGCATAAAGGAGAGAGGAATAAGAGAAGGGATCCAGGATGCCTTATCCCTGATCCCACATGGATCTCCCCAGCCCCCACACTCACACATCCCCTGAAGAGTGCGTACAGAGCACAACGGTATCCTCACCATCTCCTGCCTGGGCCGCTATGGCAAACTCTAACCAGACTGCCACCTCTGATCATGCCTTGTCCAATCCCACCCATCTGTGGGAGGCAGGATAATTGCCCCCCAAATGTCCACGCCCTAATCCCTGGAACCTGTGAATATGTGGCCTTCCATGGTAAAGGGGATTTGGCAGGTGTGATTAGGGTAAGGACCTCGAGATGGGGAGATGATCTTGGGTTCTTTAGGTGAGCCTGATGGAATCACAAGAGTCCTTAAAACTGGAAAAGGAAGGCAGAAGAGCCAGTCAGAGAGACGGAACTTCAGGACTCAGCTCGTTGTGGCTGGGCGTGAAGACGGCAGAAGGCACCATGAGCCAAGGAGGGAGGTTTCACACGAGCTCTTCACATCCAGCAAGAAAACAGGACCTCACCCCACACCCCTGAGGAGCTGAATTCTACCACAACCCCACATAAACAAGGACACAGAATCTCCCTAGAGCTTCCCCAGAAGAAAGCAGCCCTGACAAAACCTTGATTTTAACCTGCGTTGGACATCTGACCTTTATAACACAATAAATTTGTTATAATAAATTAGCTTAAAACAGCTAACTATATGGTTATTTGTTTCAGCAGCCTAACCTAGCATCCTCTTTTTCAGCCAGACACTCTTTCCAAAGCATAACCTTAACTTTTCACATTTCCATCCCTCCTCCTCTCTCCCTTCCAGACAAAAGGAAAGGAAAGTGTGGCCTCAGACCATATGAACACTCAGGGCACTCACTTCCTGCTAGGAGCAGAGTAAGAGAATGATGCCTTCCTTTGCCCTGTAATTCCAAGTGATTCTGGAAAAAATGCACTTTAATTTCACTGCCACAGGCAACTGAGTCACCCCCACTGGGCAGGTGGGGACTCTGATTGCTGGCACCTCTGTGCACCTTTGATCTCAAGCACATCAGAGAGGTGGAATGCCGCCTGACTTCAGCATGAATAATTTACCGACATTTAGCAGCTGCCTCTGCTTTGACGGGTAATCCACATTCTGGTTTTAAACTGTGTAAAGAGATCAAAGACACACTTGTGTTCCTTCCGTCTAGCTATTTAAACTGGCATGAGCGCTTCAACACAATAAACTCAGTCCAGAAGTGAAATTGCTTCAGTTTGCTTGTGGCCCTCTCTGAGCTCACTGGTTCTCAAGTGTGCATCAAGTGCTGGGGTGCAACCCAGAGTTTGAAAGTTATTTCTAATCACATTGTCCAAAAAATGTGGGAGAGCGCAGGACAGCACTGACACTTAAAAAGTCTATGATGTCAACTCTTAACCTCTTTGATTCTCTAAAAGGAAGTGCTATTGGGATAGGGTTGGGGGGCTGGGGGTAGATTTTAGAAAAAAGCCACTTAGCCAGAAAATCTTGTGCATGCTCATTACTTAAAAGCATGCCTCTGTAAGAAAAGCATATGGAATATCATCTTCCTTTGGGATTGGGAATTCTGTATAACTTGGGTTCATCCCCAAAATTAGTAGCCAAAATTAGAGGAGAGGAAACACACGGTTGAATTGGCAGTGACCGCTAAAACAGACCCAGAAATTCACAATTTTTAAATACCAGCTAAATGAGAGCTTTAGTGAATGTTTTGCTTAATGATGAGAGATGCACAGTCATCTGATGATTCTTAGTAGCCAAAATTAGAGGAGAGGAAACACACGGTTGAATTGGCAGTGACCGCTAAAACAGGCCCAGAAATTCACAATTTTAAAATACCAGCTAAATGAGAGCTTTAGTGAATGTTTTGCTTAATGATGAGAGATGCACAGTCATCTGATGATTTGGCATCCAGAAGTTTCACTAAGTCTATTATAATTATGATAGATATATGTCTTGCTATATTATCAGAAAAATAATGGTAATACTAAATTTTTTAACTTACAAAAATAATAATAAAAATTATAAAGTTGACTTTTTCAAAAACTCAAGAGGAGTGCCCAGTCCAGCCACTCAGCTGTTTTTCCAAGCTGATGTCTCTAAGGTCTGGCACCTGAATCCAAACCAGAACCGCTTTCCTCATCAAATGCCGCTTCCCTTATTCTATTAGTTGATGACACCCTGATTTGTTTAAATGCCTGAAAAAAGCAACCTCTGCATTTATTTATACATATATGGGGTGTGTGTGTGGTGTCCACACTTTTTAATTTCCTACACGTACGATACAATATGGAAGCAGACAGTTTGAAAATTACGACATAAATGGTAATTAATAAGAAACACAGATATTCACAGCCCTGTAGCTCACACCATTCTTCCCTTACCAGTTATGAGAACTGTTTTCCCATGACTTTCAAGATCTACCCCCTACCTGTAAATGAAGTGGGGACAGCTGCACGTCATACAGCTGGCGTCCTGTGCCCGCGGCCGGGGCGGGTTCTGTGCTGACCACAAACTGAATGGTCTGGCCCACCACGCGACAGACCACCACCTGCAGGAGGGACGAGGAACAGATGACACTGTATACAATAGAAAGGACAGCTCATCCCAGAGACGTCTTCATACGACTGTGACATCATCTGGACTCTCCGTGTTAGTGAGGACACAGTTATAGAGTTCCAGATGTGGATAAATGTTCAGATTCACATCTTTTCTGTAATGTAGTGGCTTAAAAGCCAGAAACAATATTTCAAATCTTTGCTTCCTGATGGATTTCTCAGGAGCTACACTGTCTTGCCCAAATCTAGTTGCTACAGTCTTCGCACATATAACAGTTTTTTTTCTTTAACTACCATTTTGTTCTATTTCTCCACAATGGTGGATTTTCATTTCCCCAGACATTTCCACATTCATATAGAGTAAAAGCCATTAGCCATCTTCTCTCGCTAAAAATGAGCCTTAAAAAGAAAATAAGTTATAGATGTTACAAATAAAAAATTTAAAAAAGTACCCAGAACACAAGAAATTGTTTCTAAGTAAATAATTTTTAACGTAGAGTGGTTTTCAAAAATGTGAGAGTAACTCAAAGAACTACAGAATATAAAATAATTACAAATTATATAGCCATATCAAAAATAGCATTATAAAATGAGCTCATTTAATGATCTATAAGACAAAGACAAGTAATTACATCAGGAATAAACCAAACTATGTGCCTAATACAAGCCGTGTAGCATTTTAGAGGGATGATTTTTAGAGCTATCACAGCACAGAAATATCTAGTTTCTGCCATGGAGTTCCTCTACAGAAGGAGATCTTCTGGAATGAGAGGTCAGCGACCCCCTGGGTAGAATGCCAAGCAGGCACAGTGCTGGGTAATTATGAGGCCAGGTGCCAGGTGTGCATAGGGGCAGGGACTGGGGGAGAGGTTGGGGGCACGCTGGGTGCTGGATGGCAGGGCAGCAGAGGGAGGCCGGGAGGTGGCCAGTGTGTTTGGCCAAAGCCAAGTTATCCAGGGGCTGAGGGTCAGACAAGACTGACCTCCACACTCCCAAGGGAACTACTAACCCCCACTGCAAGGAGTCACTTGGGGAGGATGAGAAAATTCTTTAATTCTCTGGTGGATTTATCAGAATCTAAAATACCAAGTGGAAAGATTATCAAAATAATTACATTGCTGGGGCCTGCTGGTCCACAAAGTTCAGGGCTAGGACGTTCAACCCTTTTCCTTTCTCAGCCCCAGCTCCCCTAGCCACACCCGCAATCCCATTCTCCCCACAGCAGACCCCTCTCCCCACTGGAACACAAGCAGAACCTGCACATAAGCCCATGGCAGGGAGTCCACTTTCCAGGTCCACAACAAAGGACCTTAACTACACAGATGTGGAAGAAGAAAATCGCGTCCTCTCTCCACACTGGCAGAAAGCCACACAAGTCCTATCATCACCCATTCTCACATCACTCTCAAAAGATTAATTTACAGGGATTGTTACATCTCTTCATCATTTCCAGAGTTCACAAAGGGTTGGAACAACAAAACATTTGTATAAGAAATGTCGCCTATTCATGTTAAAAATAAATCATCTATAAACAACCTGTTTTGGAGGAGCATAATTTGATCCCAGAGGAGTTACACACACCAGTGACCTGACACGAAGATGCACTGTCCTTTGTCTGCACAGCCCAGGTCTTTTGCTGCTTAAAATAATAAAAAAAAAAAAGACAGTGACTCGGTGACTTCTGTTATTTTTTTGGAGCCTCCCATACTAAGCTAATCAGAATTTTACCAAGAAAATGGACAGTGTAATTAATTAGTATCTTGACTAAAGAAAGGAAGTTTGGTTTCCTTTTGTATCTTACAGTTCTACAAAAAGCTTCCCTACCACCCACCTGGATACAGAGAGTCCCAGCACTTGGTTAAAAGCAAGAAAAGAAATAAAACAACCTGACTTTAAAACTTCTACAATATGAAACTCCAAACTTCCCAATTTACCATTCAAGCCACATCAGTAAAGTAAGTGCAGTTGCTAAGTGAGACCCTCCAGGTCAAATGTCTTCTCACAGAGACCCCTGGAGGGTCTTCTGCAGCCCTATGGCTTCCCAACCCTCTAAATAAAACCAGTCGCACAGACCAGCCTTTTATGGCCTCCCCTCCATGTTCAGCAGGAAAAGCTCATCACAGTTGAAACATTCTGAGCCTGCCTCAACATTCGGTATGGCCACACGAAACGCCACCACTGCTCCTGCGAGGTCTACATGGACAGACAACCATTAGGGCCAAATCCTTTTCCCAGGGCCAGTCTCTGCCTCTGCTGCCCTGGGAATAATAATGCCCCATTTGTCAAATGGCCGAGAACAAAATGGAAAGGAGGTTTTAAAAACGGTAATCTTCTTTTAGCGTATTAAGGTGTTATCCACAATGGGGATTAAATTCTCTCAACCCATACGTACAGTGGCAAGGCCCTCACGGTCTGAGCAGGGACCCTCTTGGAACAGCAGGAGGCAGATCACCTGATGCAAGGTAAATGGATCTTTCCAACTAGTTAGCCCTCCTAATTGGCCACAAGTCAAGGGTTGACATCTACCTAAATACCTATGAATAGGTGGAGACCCTGATCTTCATCCTCGAGTCCCCTACCCCAAACTCAACAGTGTTCCTGAGAATCCCTTAGGTTTCTCACTTAGCTTCTCAGAGAGTCCCAACTATATAGAACTGTTTGAATACGGCTTTTAGGGCTTTGAATATCTCCCTCTGGATGGTCTGATACGCGTACTGGATTTTTAAAAGTTAAACAGAAACAATATGTACTGTCTGCGGTGGCAACAGAGCACTTCTCTGAGGACAGGGGTGGACCCACCCGCCCCAGGACCCCACAAAGCCAGGGTCTGCCTCCATAGGAACGGGCTCCCTTAAAATAATCAGCCATAAACCCACCTGCTTTATTCTTGAGGTTTTCTTTTCCAAAGCAAGCAGAGAACTCCTCAATGACATAAACCATTCCAAAATCAAGCAATAAGAATGCTGAACCATGTATTCCAGATAAACACCCTCCCTCTCTACTTAAGAGAGTGTTTCAGGGAAGGTGGGTTGCACATAGTGAGAGTCTCAAAGGTGAAAAGCCCAAAGAGCACTGGACAGTGACTGGAGGGCTGGCAGGGGACGGGTTGGGTCAGGGTATCCCTGGTCCCCCCCATAGATCAAGAAAGAGAGCAGAACGTGAGAGTAAGCTCTGAAGGGCAACAGGGCCAGTCATACCCGACCCTGGTGGGGGGACAGGGGCTTCATTCACCTTTTATATGCTCTCTCCAGACTTTGAACTCAAATAGTCACATACCTATGCAAATAGCTCTTATCTTCAAAGTGTGTTCCTTTGTTTAGACATGGGCCAAAAAATTCCAGCTGAGTGAGTTCTGAGTTCTGCTATGCTCGCCAGCAAGAAAGTCCCTAATCCCTCCCAGTCTCACTGTACCCTTTCACTTTCCTTTTCAATTAAGCTTCTCCTGCAGCTGCCTCTGCCCCTCCTTTCCTTAGAACACTCCAGAGAACCGAAAATAATTTAATTACTTTTGTCTCCAAAGGAACTAGGAACACAGCTGAGAAAATGCACCCGAAAGGTTTATGTTATTGAGTATTTTTCACTTCAATTGCACCATATAACAACGCCTCGAGGAAAGAACTCCAGCATAAAGCAGAAGTATAGACCCTGCACTAATCGTGCACGATTCCTAATCGGATGTCTTTCCCACCTGGGCAACCCAATCTCACCTCTGTACATATTCGTTCAGACAATATGAATCGGTTATAAAATATTATTTCTACTCTGGAACAGGCACTCCATTCAAGAAGTAAAATCCATTAGAGCTAAATATTATCAGAACATCTACAAAGTTCATCCTTTCTGCCCACCAATTCACAATACACAGCCGGAGATGTATTTTTATGAGGAACTCTCCCAGGGGACTGAGAGGGAAAACGTTGGAAACAAGATGTCGGCCAAACCCGAGGGATGCTGGGCAGATGCTCTGTTTTGCCTTATTCTGGGGGTGCACCTCAGGCCACACGGGCTCCCTGTTCTTGATTCCAGCCCCAGCCCTGGACACACTCTCCATCCCCTCCCTTGTTGGGATACTTTGAAATGAACAAGGAGTCTTTTCAGTCATCCCGCACTACAAGGAGGTATTGTTAATACATAACAGGGTTTAACGTGGACATTCCACAGCTTAAAAATCTGTCGGTGAGTGTGCTGTGCTCTTGCACCAATGCTGTGTTAAAAGCCATATATGAGACGTTCCCTTTCAAATGAAGCACACGAGGCAACTGGCTCATGGGCTGGTGGTTACTGCTTCATGTTGGTTTTAGGCCAGGCCACACAGCCACACCTACCCCTAACGCCAGGCTCTGTACTTCAACAAACAAACAAAACATCGTGAGCCCCAGGGTCCTCTCACCCTGTCTCCTCCAGGCCAGAGGCAGGCTGTACCTAAGGCCTGACTCAGCCCACAATCCCACGTGCCATTGTCCAAACAAGCAGGCGGCCTTGCAGGAGGCACTTCTCCTGCTCAGGGGCAGCACCACGCACTGGATCTCAGAGGCAGGGCCTCCAATAAGGAATCTCAACTGCCTGCCCTTGGACAGGACCTGTTTCAAAACAATTTCACAACCTATTAGCATTTTAGCATAAATACCAGGTTAATGGGATACTTGGAATTTCAATTCACACAAAGCAAAGGGAAAAAAAGGTCAACCGAGCTTCCTGTTTACAACTAGAGAGACAAACATAGACAATTTTGAATTATGCTCCCCTTACAAACCAAGAGGCCCACTGAGGAAAAAACAGAGGCCACCCAGATGCTCCCAGATGTGTTTCAGCATGTAAGTGTGCAACGGGCAGCCAGGGAGAAAGCAAGGTTGCATCACACGCCGCACACTGGGGCCAGCTGGGGGCTCCCGACGCACAGCCTGGAATGAGATTCTGGGGGAATCCTGTGCAGCTGTTCAAGGTGTCTGTTGCTATGGTTTTATGTAAGCAAAGGCTGGTTAGCTCCTTTCAG